CCACGCCTTATCTTGGTCCTTGAAAAAGTATTCTTTAAAAAATCCACACCTATTGATGGTCCTTGAAAAAGTATTCTTTAAAAAATCCACACCTATTGATGGTCCTTGAAAAAAATATTCTTTAAAAAATCCACGCCGAATATTGGTCCTTGCAAAAGTGTTCTTAAAAAAATCCACGCCTTATCTTGGTCCTTGAAAAAATCTTCTTTAAAAAATCCACTCCTTCTGCTGACCCTTGAACGAATATAGTTTACATTTTTGTTTTAGTACTTACCTTTTGCACTTCCTTTTCCATCATTTCCTCTGTCTCCTTTTTCGATTTCGGTGCCAAGGGACCAAAGAAGTTAACACTATCCAAGGTATTCTTGAATTTATCCAAGAAACGATGTTTCAAATCGGTGCTGACACGAGCCATTGTCTCCTTCAATTCCAAATGCATACGTTTGCGACCCTTGTGATGGGGAATGAGGACAGGACGTACACCACTTAAATCAGGATTAACCAAGGCTTCTATGCGATAGGCAACCGGATCATATGGATGGAAAATGTTATAAAAACCAGGGCATGTGGGTAGGCGGAAGTCAAGACCAAGCTTATCAATGCCACGAATGGTGACGAACATACCTATAAAAAATAATTTAAATCACATAATTTCCGGAGAGGGGTGTGAGGGGTCCTTACCAATTGGTGATCCCAATGCAAAGAATTTCTTCGGCTGAAAGATCAATTGGCCATAGTTGATAAACGGTTGTCCAGTACCGGCTGGACCCATGGTATAACTTATCGATTTGGCTTCCAATTGATTGTTACTATCCGTCGCCGCTCCCGCCATATTGTTTTGACTTAGAAATTGTTGATCGGGATTTTCGAGATTCTTCTCCTCACTTTCTTTGATGGGATTTTGATGGCAAAGTAAATCGAAAAGTATCAATGAACCCAAACTGTGGCCAGCCAAAGAAACGCCACCATTAAAATCGGGATGACGTTGACGATATTTCATATAGATATCATTCAAAGACATTACAATTGAATTCATAATCCGTTGACAGAATGTAGGGCTGGTATAGAAGAGTATATCCAATAGAGTGTCATTGGTGAAGTTGCGCAGTTTTGGGATCGATTCCAAGGTTATGGAACGTAATTTCTCATCAATACCCAGCTCGATGGAGTGCAGATGACTGTGCCATGAAATGGGTAGGACTTCAACGCGACCCACCAAACCCAAATCGGCGGAATTTTTATAATGTGATTGTACCAATTGGTGGGCAATGGTGCGAAAATCTTCAACTGTAAGGTGAGGTGAAGAAGAGGAGAAAATAGGTTAACTCTGTTTAAATAAAATATTATTTTGACACTTACCAACTTCTTCTACAGATCTCAGCTTCAAATCACATGCCGAACCAATACCATGTACCATAAAGAGTAAATGATCGACCTTTTGGGATTCACCTTGGGCAATGGTGAAATCATCTAGATCACGTTTAACCACACGGGGTCTGGTGGTGGTTTGCTGAGAATAATAAAAATAAAAAATAATTCTTCCCTATTTCGAATGGTATTCCATGTATTATTTTCCTTACCGTGGTACCACCCCAGGCATCTTGATTTTGTTGCTGCTGGAAGTGTACAATAACTGTGGGACCATGGAAGACCACCTGTTCTCCCATACCCAATATAATGGTCTTGTGCCAAACACCACTTTCGGCAGCCTGTTTATATTCTGCTTCCAAAACATCGGCTGTACTTTCTTCGTAGGGTATATATTTGGAATCGACTGCCTTGTAAAACCACGAACAACGTCTCACTTCAATTGGTTCACTTTCCCAATATACACTGCGTTTCATACGCTCCTTAATGTAGACATCATAGCGGCCACCTTCAACGGCTACAACTTCGGGTTTATCTTCTGAAAATTAAAATAATAATAACAATGTTGAGAGACTAATAAGATATTATAGAAAAAATGTTTCTTTGCACCAAATCCGTTTCAGAAAATTTAGAGTAGATCTAAAAATGACCATCGGTCCGTCCGTCCGCGCATCGTAATACTTTTTTCATACTTCATACCTCTGAGGATATGACCACATTCTGCAGTTTTTCTTTTTTAATAAAATAAGTTATCATTTTAATCTGAGCCCCAGGGTTTACTTAAATTGAAGGATATATTTTTGGAAAATTTGGCTGCGGATTTATGGTTAATATGAGAATAAAAGACCTCGTCTCCAGATTCACTCCAGTTGATGAGCAAATTGCTATAATCCGTATAAAAGCGAAGTACTTCCACATCAATCTCATTTGCGTCCAAGCTCCGACGGAAGACAAAGATGAGCTGACCAATGACATATTTCACAAGCGCCTAGAAATAGCATATGACCGCTGCCCTGGTCATGAAATTAATCTCTGCTAGGAGATTTTAATGCAAAAATCGGAAGGGAAATTTTTTTTTGGTCCCACCGTCGGAAAATTCAGCCTCCATAAAGAAAGATCAGACAACGACATGAGGTTGATTGACTTCGCGGCAGCAAAAAAAAATATGGTTTTGTAGCAGTCCTATTGCTTTTACGGACTTCTTCACTACCTTATAGCAGCAAAAGTGCGATCTAACACAATACGGAGACTCGATGTCGAAAAGCTGCAAACACAACAGGTAGCAGAAGCCTACTCCGCTCAACTTACCCATCTGCTTGATGAAAACACACATTTTGCCGATAATAATATAGAAGCACAATGACAAAGAATTGCCCACTTCCTACAAACGGCAGCAAAAGCAAAATTTGGGTACCACAAACCACCATCAAGAAACCCATGGTACGATAAGGAGAATTGTATGCTACTGAGGCAACACGAAATGCGATGGAAAATTATCGGGAGAAAAAGGAGAGAGGAGGAGGTATTTTCAGAAAAAGAACAAGAAAAACGTGAGCAAATCGAGATGTACAGGAGTCAAAATGAAGTACGGAAATGTTAGCAACAGGTAAAGCACCAAACCGAAGGCTTTGGTGCAGGCATATCCTCCTGTAGAGATAATGAAGGGAATCTGGTGACAGATACAGACAGCGTGTTGAGGATCTGAAAGGGCCATTTTGAAAAGCGTAGCGGTGAAGTGGATACTCCAGAACCAATAATAACAATTAATCGGCTGAAGAATAATAAAGCAGCACGAGCCGATGGATTACCAGCAGAACTATTCAAGACTGGTGGGCAGATGCTGATAAGAAGCATGCACCAGCACAAAAAAGGAGACAAGACGATATGTGCCAACTATAGAGGAATAAGTCTCCTTTCCATCGCATAGAAAGTGATATCCAGAGTGCTGTTGGAAAAATGCGGTTTCAGACCTGGCAATTCCACCATAGGCCAGATGTTCACTCTGCGCCAAATCCTGGAAAGGACCTACGAAAAACACCACGACACATTCCACCTATTCGTCGACTATAAAGCCGCATTCGACAGCCTTATCCGTTCAGAGGTGTATAAAGCCACGTCTGCGTTTGGCATTAATACGGCTATACAGGATAACTTTGAGTGGCACAAGGCCAGCAGTGAAAGTTGAAAGGACCTCTCGGAGCCCTTTAATACCGAACGAGGATTCAGACAAGGTGACACTTTGTCGTATGACCTTTTTAACATCCTGCTGGAAATGGCCATACGAGACGCCAAGGTGAACAGAAATGGCACTCTGTACAAACGACACATGTTACTCGCCTACGCCGATGACATCGACATAATGGGTCGAACATTGAGAGCGGCAACATCCACTTTTGAACGAATTGAGAAGGAGTATACCAAAGTGTGGTCTGGCAGTAAGTGGCGAGAAGACCAAGCTGATGATATCAACGCACAAGACGTCTATTAGACTCGGACCGACTGTGGAACTTGAAAATTACAGCTCCGAGGTAGTGCAAGTTTTTTTATACCTCGGTACAGCCATAAATAAAATTAATGACATCAGTTTTGAAATTCGGAGAAGGATCGTGTTGGCCCACAGATGCTACTATGGTCTAAGTAAGCAGTTTAGAAACAAGGCCACCTCCCGTCAGACCAAACTCACACTCTAAAAAAACCCGTGGTTTTATACGGATCCGAAGTATGGGTACTTCCGCAAGCAGATGAGACAGCTCTGGTAGTGTTCGATGTGTGTTTCGGGTGAATTTCACCATGAGTTGTACCTCCTATTCTCGGACATCGACATTGTCAGACGTATCGAGCTGCAGGACATTTGCTAGGATATGTTGTGAGAATGGATGAGAATGTCTGTCCCACCTCAAAAGGTATATAAAAGCGAGCCAGCTGATGGTACACCCAGAAGGGGAAGGCCACGAATTCGATGGAAAGACCAAAAGAAAGACAACATTTCGGAACATGGTCTTTCAAATTGGAAGATCTGTGCACAAGACCGAATCGCCTGGAAATCTTTTTTTTAACCGTTCTGTCATAAGACATCTAAGCAAGTATGCAATAGGTCAAAAGTTATGGCAAAAAATATGAGGTTTACATTTTTGAGACTCCGTTTTTTGATCGACCAAAACAAAAGATGGCGCTGGCGACAGCTTGTTGCCATCATAACTGAAAATCACAGATATTGTATACACTCTGAATTACATTACACGGATGGTCGTCCCACCACAAGCCTATTCAACTCACAGCACTGCACAGTGAAATCTGCAATTGCACCCCTAGATAATTGATTCAGAACCGGATAAGAATACTCGTAAAAAATCAAAATATAAATATAAGTTCTAAAATAATAATAAACAAAATTATAGCAGATGTGCATCATATAAATAAATATTTTAAAATTTTTGACCTAGAACTTGAGATAAGAACTAAGCCCATTTAAATAATAATCATAATCAAACTGTTTAAACTTTAACCTCCCATAAAGCGAATGATAGGCATGTGAATATAAATGTACAACATTTGATTATTTTAATATTAGTTTAAATTTGTGAAATTTGTAGGTGATAGTCGGTGCTGTACGGAGTAGTATCGTAAAAAACATGAAATCCATCATTTCCCAATTCGTTTGGGTGGCAGTGTTAATTTATGGCAGTTTGTTGGTGATCAGTTCCCCCACCACCGAGGTCGAACACAATGCCATTAATCAAAAATACTATCACTATTTAATGGATAATTTGGATACGAGTAATAGCCCCTGTTCACAATTCTATCCCTATGTGTGTTCCAAATGGCCGGCCAAACACAAATCGAACATTGACAACAATAATTCCGTGCAGAAGTTGTTGAGCTATGAAATTAATATGGAAATAAAGGCATATTTGGAAAACCAGACACCTGTAAAGGATATGCCAGAACATGTACAAATGGTTAAGGACTTCTATGTATCCTGCAAGGAAAATAATAATGTGAGTCTTGTGGAATTTATGCAGTGGTTGGAAAAACACGAAAATATTGTTACGTTCTTGGATTTTGCTTAATCCCGTGTAGACGTTGTTTTATTTCCCGATACAATTCGTACCAAATAAAACGCGGGTTCTTTCGGATTACGATTATTACAATGATTTTATTCACACAACTTTACTTTGCACTTTACTTTACTCGACGGTTTCAATTCGCGATCTGATTCACAACTGACTCACTGCCTTTCCATTCCCTCTATTTATATGAGCCCTGCCTGTCGCTACAGAAGTTTCTAGACGATCTGGTAACACCTAGATCACGAACAATCTACCAAAACACATTGAGTAACAATAACAACAACAAACTTACTGAGTGAACAATAACAACAACAAACTTGAGTAAACAAACTTACAATAACAACAACACATATACAGGCGAGGGAATAACAAAGAAAGAGGAATAACAACAACACATATACAGGCGAGGGAATAACAAAGAAAGAGGAATAACAACAACACATATACAGGCGAGGGAATAACAAAGAAAGAGGAATGACGTTTAACAAGAATTGTACGACAATAACAAAATAGAAAATGAAAGAGGAAATGGAAGGATGTAGAAAAATCTATACAGTGGTTGTTGTTGTGAAGTTATTCAAATAAACTGCGTAGTAGAAATTTACGTTACAATTCAAATTCTTAAATTAACGGAATTCATCTAAATTAACTTAAATCTAAAGTTATATTCGTAACATTGCCCCCCGCTTAAGCCTGTTCGTCCCGAATAGGCACAGTTCCCGTTCCGTAGGGGGTCAGCCGCTCCAAATGTACAACTTTCATCTTCGACCTGGGACTGTCGCTCCTCTGGATGCGATAAACGACGTCATTTATTTTCGTGACAATCTTGTAGGGTCCTTCCCAGTGCGTTTGCAATTTGGGGCATAGTCCTTTCTTTCGTTGTGGGTTGAACAATAGTACCAGTTGCCCTTCTTGAAACCCATCGGTATTTGCCGCTCGATCGTACCTTGCCTTCATGCGGTTGCTAACCATTTTTATTCGATGTCGGACTGCATCGTGGACTTTACTAAAAGAGTTTTGGCTGTCTTCATCTTGGTTCACATCGTCGTTTGGGGTAGCGCCGAATATCAAATCGCCAGGTAGCTTTAATTCATTTCCGAACAGAACTTTGGCTGGGGTCCGGGATGTGGAATCATGAATGGCCGATCTATAAGCCAATAAAAACTTTGGAATATGCTCATCCCAGTCTCGTTGGCCACTGTCCACCACTTTCCGTAGATGTTCTTCAAGGGTGCGATTGAATCTTTCCACCATGCCATCTGATTGTGGATGTAGGGGCGTCGTTCTGGTTTTCTTAATTCCGTAGGAGTCACACATTTCCTTGAAGATCGCTGATTCAAAATTCCTACCTTGATCGGAATGAACCTCAGATGGAACACCATAGCGACAAATCCAATTTTTGCTGAACACATCCACAATTGTCCTGGCTTCTTGATTTGGGATAGCATAAACCTCCGGCCATTTACTGAAGTAATCCATGACCACTAAGACATACCGGTTCCCAGAGTCGCTTGTGGGGAACGGTCCAGCTACATCCATTGCGATTCTTTCAAAAGGGGCTCCTGAATTATACTGCTGCATGTAGCCTCGACTCTTCCGTGTTGGACCTTTAGCTTTTATGCACCTTTCACAATTGGCGATCCAGTCGGCAATGGATTTTTGACAGCCGACCCAGTAGAATCTCTGCTTTACCTTTTCAGCGGTCTTTGCTATGCCAAGATGTCCTCCACTTGGCCCATCGTGGAACTCCGACAAGACATCTCTTATTTTGGAGTCTGGGACGACGATCAAGTTCTGGTGAGATTTACCGTCCTCACTTTCCCATTTGCGATATAGGCAGCCATCTTTTATAAGTAGACTGTCCCACTGGGCCCAATAGGATTTTAAAAGAGGGCTTTCGGAGGTAATTTCTTTACGACTAGGTCGCTTGCCCGTTTCAATGGCCGAAATTACTTTGCCCAGAATGGGATCTCTTCGTTGTTCCGTCGGCCAATCTTCACCCGACTCAAACTGCAATAGTCGGACATCAACGATATTCTCCTTATTCTCAGCCTTTGAGCAATGCCTGCATTCTACCTTGCATGGCCGACGAGACAGGGCATCAGCATTACCGTGTTTTCCGCCTTTTCTGTGCTCGATTCTGAAATCATAACTCTGGAGCCTCTCGATCCAACGGGCTAGTTGACCTTCCGGATTCTTAAACCGCAGCAACCATTGGAGAGCAGCGTGGTCGGTCCTCAGCAGGAAATGCTGGCCATATAGGTATTTGTGGAAGTGTTTAACGCTCTCAAGGGCAGCAAGCAGCTCTCTCCTCGTCACACAGTAATTCCTCTCAGGCTTCGACAATGTCCGGCTGTAGTACCCGATGACTTTTTCCTGTCCGTCGATTTCCTGGGAAAGGACGCCACCGATGCCGCACGCACTTGCGTCTGTGTCCAGAGCAAACTTTCCGCCAGGTATAGGGTATGCCAAAATGGGGGCTCTACATAGCATGTCTTTGAGTTTACTGAACGCTTCTTCTTGGTCGTTGCCCCACTGGAACCTCTGGCCTTTTTGCGTTAAGCGGTGTAGACAGGCGGCGATGTTGGCAAAATTTGGGACAAATCGACGGTAGTAGGTGCAGAGACCCAGAAAGCTTCGCAGCTCATGGAGATTTCGGGGCTGCGGCCAATCTCTGACGGCTTGAATTTTCTCCTTATCCGTCGATATGCCCTCCGGCGTCACGTGATGCCCCAGGAACTTCACCTCTCGTTGGAAGAGACTGCACTTCTTTGGGTTCAGCTTGAGGCCTGAAGACGAAAGCTGCTGAAGAACATCCTTTAAATTCTTGATGTGTTCGTCGAAGTTGCGTCCCATGACTATGATGTCATCCAGGTATATGAGGCATGACTTCCACTGCAGCCCTTTTAACACACGCTCCATCAGCCTTTCAAATGTAGCCGGGACGTTGCAGAGTCCGAATGGCATGACATTGAACTGCCAGAGACCCCCATTAACGCCAAACGCTGTTTTCTCCTTATCTTTCTCGGCGATCTCTACTTGCCAGTACCCACTCTGCAGGTCGAGGGTGGAGAACCATGACGTCCCGGCTAATGTGTCCAATGTGTCGTCGATTCTTGGGAGCGGATAGCTGTCTTTCTTGGTGACATCATTTAACTTTCGGTAGTCCACACAAAACCGGGTGCTTCCGTCTTTCTTCTTGACCAAGACCACTGGGGAGCACCATGGACTTGACGATGGTTCTATTACACCACTCTTTTCCATTTCACTTATCAGCTTCTGGACCTCGTCTCTTTTGGCCAGGGGAACACTTCTTGGAGGCTGTTTAATGGGTCGCGCGTCTGCTGTATTGATTTCGTGCTTCACCACTGATGTCCTTCCTTGGTGCTCTTTTGTCAACGCAAAGGTAGAGGCATACTTCCATAATAGCTGCTTAGCCTTGTTCCTCTCGGAAGGTGATAATTGGTGTGTCCACTCTTTTATGTAGCCGTCGAGGTGCTTCTTCTCCATGGCTGCTGGCTTTTCGGTGCTAGTTTCCAAATTAACTACAGCTTCAGCTGGTGTGCATTGTCCAACTTCGGAAAATTGGCAAATTTGCTCTTGCTTGTTTGACAGGTTCAAAACTCTAACAGGAATCAATCCGTCCTCGTTGCTTTTCACCAGGGCATTCGCTATTAGGATGTTACTGTATCTGTTTTCTGCTGGTTCCACCACCCACAACTTCTCGGCTCCACAATCTCCATTCATTGGTACCCATATTATTGCTTCGGCACAGGGCGGTATTATCTCTGGATGGTCCGTAGTCAGACGTCTAATGGGTGTACTTTCATCGTAGCCCACGTTTAACGGAATTTCGACGTTAGACCAGGTCATCACACGCTCTTTCATATCCAGATTGATACCGAAGGCAATCATAAAATCTGCGCCTATTATCACTTCGTCTACGATATCGGCAACTATAAACTCGTAATTCACCGATTTATTGGCAATAGTTAGTCTCAGGGTAATCTTGCCGTGTACTGCCGCGGGCTCCCCCGTTGCTGTGCGCAGTCTGACTCCATTAAGTTGCGTTATTTTTCCCTTTACCAGATCTGATCTTATGATGGACTTTGATGCGCCAGTATCTAATGTCAGAACTCGCTTGTCACCATTGATGTACCCAGTTGTTGTTAGGTTGTGACTTTTCTGTTGTACTATTGCTATGGAGATTGTGGGGCCATCGTCGATGGGAGCCAGTTCATGCCCCGCTGGACTGGCTCGATTTAGTTTAACGGTGGCTCCTTGGTGGACTGTTGATCCATTCTTCTACCATCTTTCGTTGGAGGTGGTGACAGCGACCTAGATCGTTTGCGCTTAACTCTGCATTCGCGCGCAATATGACCTGCTTTATCGCAGTTGAAGCACCTAATCCTGGGCTTAGTCATCCCTACTAACTTTGTTTCTTCGATTACCTGCCTCATGGCGTCCTTGATCGAGTTAACGAGAGATTTGGGTTCGCAACCTTCGGTCTCCAGTTGGCGAATCTTGTGGGTCTGGGGCTTAACAATTATTCTGGCCGTCTCTTGGGCTAGGGCAAACGACACAGTTTCGGCAAACGACGCTTTTGGTGACGCATATGTTGCACATTTAATCTCAGGGTCACGTATGCCATTCACAAAGGTTTCGATTTTCATACGGTCCAGCAATGGGTGATTCTCTCCTGGATACGCCATTAGCACCAAACGTTCCACCTCAGCTGCAAAGTCTTGTAACGTCTCGTTTGCCCTCTGTACTTTTCCCCTTAGTTCCATAAGGTAGATGTTTTGTTTATGTTCGCCACCGTACTTACGTTCCAGTGCAGCAATAACATCTTCATAGTTATTCCTAGAAGCGACAGGAATACTCTGTATAACATCAGCAGCACTGCCCTTCAATGCCAGAAGTAATGCAACCGCTTTGTCGCTGTCGTTCCACGAATTTCTAGAAGCCACTGTCTCGAATTGTAACTTGAAAACATTGAATGACGTAGAGCCGTCGAATACAGGAGGTTTGATTTTTAGTGTGTTATCAGGAACTCGCACCGGGCCACCTTTAATTTCCAGTTCCGTCATTTTCTTCTCCAGATTCGTAACCCTGTGGTCGTGGACCAGAAATTTCCCATCCACAGACAGAATCTTCTCGTCAACCGACTGCACTTTCTTATCCAACTCTTTAATTTGGACCTCCACGGTTTCCACTCTCCTTCCAATAACTTCTGTAATGTTCTCGAGTTTCTCGTTCATTATTCTCGAATTTTCATCTAACTTTCTGGAATTCTCTTCGAACATTCGTCTCGTGTTTTCTTCTGACTTTCTGGAATTCTCTTCGAACCTTCTGAAATTTTCCTCAAACATTTTGGCCAGCATTTCTCTGAAATCGTCACCCTTGGCAGCTACTGACGAGACTTCCCCACCGTTGGATTCGCCCATTTCCGATAAATCCACTTCATCCTTACTGTCAAACTCATATGTATCGATGTTCATACCACGGCGCTCGAACTCATCCAACAGACGTTTTTGTAGCTCAGCCTTGTTGCCAGTAGAGGACAATTCCAATTTATTGAGCTCCTTCTTTAAGTCTTCCACTCGTAGGTCCTTAAATTTCATCGTAGTATTATCGTAATCTCACTTCCGACACCAATTGTTACGTTCTTGGATTTTGCTTAATCCCGTGTAGACGTTGTTTTATTTCCCGATACAATTCGTACCAAATAAAACGCGGGTTCTTTCGGATTACGATTATTACAATGATTTTATTCACACAACTTTACTTTGCACTTTACTTTACTCGACGGTTTCAATTCGCGATCTGATTCACAACTGACTCACTGCCTTTCCATTCCCTCTATTTATATGAGCCCTGCCTGTCGCTACAGAAGTTTCTAGACGATCTGGTAACACCTAGATCACGAACAATCTACCAAAACACATTGAGTAACAATAACAACAACAAACTTACTGAGTGAACAATAACAACAACAAACTTGAGTAAACAAACTTACAATAACAACAACACATATACAGGCGAGGGAATAACAAAGAAAGAGGAATAACAACAACACATATACAGGCGAGGGAATAACAAAGAAAGAGGAATAACAACAACACATATACAGGCGAGGGAATAACAAAGAAAGAGGAATGACGTTTAACAAGAATTGTACAACAATAACAAAATAGAAAATGAAAGAGGAAATGGAAGGATGTAGAAAAATCTATACAGTGGTTGTTGTTGTGAAGTTATTCAAATAAACTGCGTAGTAGAAATTTACGTTACAATTCAAATTCTTAAATTAACGGAATTCATCTAAATTAACTTAAATCTAAAGTTATATTCGTAACAATATGAAATGGGCTTTGCTCACACCAATTGAGAATAAGGATGATGCCACCATCGCCTTCGATTGGCCCTCAACTATGGCCATATTTCGTAAATATGATTTCAATGATTTGCTTGTAGAACAATGGACGGATTCGAAGAATAGCTTTAATTATGTAAAGAAAACCGATATCAGACATTTGATGAAGGCGATAAATCTACCAAATGGTACCATGGAGTTTCTAGACCTTTGGAAGCGTATTGATGGCTTTGAATATAAATTTGGTGAAGTTGTTGCGAATAGCGAAGAAGAGGAACAGACATTGAAATTCAAAGATATACCATATCCGTGGTTCAAAAAATATCTCAAGGCTGTAATGGGAGGAGCAGGAGCAAAGGTTTCTGATATTGATGATAATACGGAATTCCGTATTTCTAGCCTTTCCAGTATGGAAGATTTGGACAAACTACTCAAGGAATATGATGAAGCATTCCTTTGTCGTTATTTGGAAGTTAGATTTTTACTCTATTTGGAAAAGATCAATGAACTTGATGAAACTGATGCCAATAAATGTGTGACTCTAGCCACAGGATTACTTTCCTTATCGGCGGAATGGATTTACAAAGAATTGCATCCTGAGTTATTAGCTGAAATTCCCACAATTCAGCAAATGTTTGACAATATTGTAAAGAATGTCAACAAAACATTACAAATGGATAAGGACGGACGTAGCATAATACCCCAGCAATTCTTTAATAAACTCGATACGATGACAGTGCAAGTAAGCCACGTACCTTTGGAAAATATCCAAGAATTCTTCGAAACGGATTATGCAAAATTTAAATTAAATTCCCACGATTTTCATGGTAATTATTTGCAATTATTGAAATTCTATTATGAAACGGAAATCAAAGACAACCGCAATGACACCGATATATTCTATACAACACCAACATATTCCATAATGAAACTGGACCTTATACCCAAATATGATGAAGATATGAATCGAATTATTCTACCATTTATGCTATTGCGTCCACCATTCTATCATCTTGCGTTTGAAGACATTTTCAAGCAGAGTTCATTGGCAACTCTATTGGCTGAAGTCATATTTTATGCCTTCGATACAAAAGATAGTGGTTTCAATGCAACGGATATAGACAATTTAGCCGAAATTATAAGTTTCCATTCCACGTTTCAGATCTTTTTCCAATCACTTCAAACCGATGACATCTCCAGATATCTATCGCTATTCAATTTGACTTCCCTGCAACAACTTAAACAATTATTCTTTATCAATGCGATCCATATTCGTTGTGAAGTAGATTATGCGGATGCGGAAATTACTAATTTTATTCTAATCCAATTATCGGAATTTAATGATGCATTTGATTGTAAATTGAATAAATTTGTGAAAAGAATTTTATAAAAATATTAATATAACTTTCTTTAATAAAGATTATCATCAATGTAAATTGAAATAATATTTGAGACTAATTTTTTAATAGTATTTGCGGGTTGTTTGGGATACCACTTCTATTTAGCAGGAGAAAAAAAAATCCCACCACTTAGCACAATCTAAAATTATCCACTGCAAAGTCTACTGTGTCTGAACACGATAAGTCAATTTTGAACTTGTCATTTTCATCGAAGGTAGGCGTATCACCACCATTCATAATCCGAAAATCCCTCCTTAAGTTTTCCTTGCATTCTAACTATGTCAACCAGAGCTGAAAGCTAGGAATAACGTTTTGAAACCTCTAGCTGACACCTGCTGAGTCAAGGATAAAGAAACGTTGTTAAAGACATACAAGGCCATCGAACCTTCCACACATAATTATGCTGGTTAGGTTCGGACTTCTTTCCTTAGCGACACACAATGGAGATCCTTGCAAACTACTCAAAATAATGCCCGCCAAATTGCAACCATGTGTGTCCAGATGAAGAACGTCGATCATCTCAATGAGGAGACCAGGATGCTGTCAGTTAAGCAAAATAGTGTGGATCCTTGCAAACTACTCAAAATAATGCCCGCCGAATTGCAACCGGGTGTATCCAGATGACGAGCGTCGATCATCTCAATGAGGAGACCAGGATGCTGTCAGTCATGCAACATAATGTGTTGTTGACTAGACAGTTTCTGTTGGCATGCTATCTATCGTGCCATTCCAACCATCACACAGTTATGACTGATACACCTCCGCGATACATCCGTCAGGAATTCAAGCACTATCGTGAAAACCGAGCTTCAACAAATGGTCTCCAAACCAAAGAATCCCTACAGATGCAACAATGTCATACTCCAACATTCTTCTGCAATTTTGGACAGTGAGAGGCTACATCATCTATTCAATTGTCCGTCCGAGGCTACAAGTATATTGCCCATTGATTTATGGCTAAACCCAATAGAGGTAGCGCAATTTTTTCGGTTAAAATTGGGAAATTGGACTAGGATGACGAGTGACCTTTGTATGGGGTACTATATAGAAACGTGGACTTATATTGAAAATGTTCTGTGATGAAGTTTGTTTACCCATCCAGATGCTAGTTTACAGCCTCTTCGTAATGCCAAAAAAGTCACTTCGGTTGGAAAATGCGCCATGACTATCAAACTACCTATAAAGGGGCTGTGTGAGTGCTATACACAAAGTTCGGTCGGTATTTACAATTATTCCTTGGAAGTTTTATCACTCACGAGAACTCAAAATATTGGTTGAAAAAAATCTTCAAAATACCGAAACTTTGGAGTACTGTTATATGGGACTTGATTCGAAGTTGGCAATTTTTAATAGGCATATTTTCTACCCAAACAGAATCCAAAAAAATATCAAATTTGATCCAATTCGATTGAAAAACGTATTTGATATCTATAAAATATCGAAAATTTGGGATACCGTTATATGGGGGCAATACTAAAACGATTGATATATTTTGTCCCGATGATTTTGTTCCCCAAAGAGAACCCAAAAATAACAAATTAGAGCCAATTTGGTTGAAAAACTTTGCTGAAAACATCAATTTCCGAATATTAAAGGGTATATTTATATGGGGCTATATCAAAACATGGACCGATAGTGATATTTTTAAAACGACTTGGCAATGGGAATCCGAAATATTAAATTAAGGCCAAATTTGGTAGCTCCTGGAACGTGGAAAGAAGAACCTCATTAAAGTCTATTGAAGAATTGGGAACTAAAGCGAAGAGGTGCAAAATTTATTTCAATGGACAGGCGTGCCTAAAATCCTCAAAATTCCGAATTTTGATGGATACATTTATATGGGGTTGTGACAAAACGTAAACCGATATTGAGATTTGCCAATGAGAATCTATAATATGAAATTAGAGGCAAAGTTGGCGACTTTAAAAATCTGGTAAGAAGGACCTTAGTCATGAACATCGAAGTAATGACAACTAAAGTGAAGAGGTGACAGAGCGAAGAGCAGAGTACTAGGTGGTATTACATCTCATTCTGCAAAGGAGGTATGCCACGGTTTACCGTCTTGGCAGGTATGAGTTATCAAAAACATACAGATGGGCGCCAGGCGTCCTTGAAGTTCCGTAAGAAAAAAGTTCAAACCCCGTAGAATGAAATGAAGTATTAGTAAGATCTAGAATGAGGCCAGCAAATTTCAATATATATAATCTCTATAAAATTTGAGATACTACATACAAATTTCGTGAAGATTGGTCCATAACTGGGGCCTGTATAGTGTTTACAAATTATATTGAACAGATGGACGGACACACATGCCTACATCGACTCAGCTATTCGAGATATGACGATCGGTGTATTTAAGGTGGGTCTAGGATCAATATTTCGCGGCTTTACAAACTCTTGTGGCTGCACAAAGCTATAATACCCTGACAACATAGTTGTGTAGGGTATAAAAATCGAAAACAAATTTGAACTCAGCAGGGAACGACTACTCGTGACCCTACAAAAGACCTCGTGCAATTTCAAAAATTTAAAAATATACCGTCCTATCCAATCAATCG